TCTAACTTAGGGTGTTTTTAATAGTGTACTTACTAAACACTATTCAACACATGACAATTATTAGTATTCAGTTTCATAGTATAGCCAGTTTTCAGAAAGTAGCACAGGACAAAAAAACCAAAGAGGAGGGAAAAGAGAGAAGGCATGAGAGGATAAGTGGGAAAGACATCGGCGGGGGGAAGAAAGGTGATAATAGTCAGAATCTGAGAGGCAACGTCAAGAATGGTTCTTCACTTTTTTTCTCATCCCACCCTCTTTGAGAAAATTAGAAACTACAGGGCTTTCCCCAAAAAGTGGACATATTTACATTATATTTAAGGGATCCAAACAGGGCTACAGAAGAGTGGAAGCAAAGGGAAATATTCAGAGAAACAGGTAGAAAGATGTAGAGAAAGATCCATAGGGAAGAAAGCGAGCAGCAGAGAGAAGGGCTGACATCAGTTTCCACCCCTTCTCACCCAGACTAACTCTGGGCTAAACTTTGAAGATGAACGTTCCTCAGTGCTGTTTAATCTCCCCTCCCATCTTTTCTCTCATCCAAATGTACTGCACTCATTAAAAGGGAACGGTATGGTCTTAAAACTTACAGATACGAATCATTCTAGAGGAACATCAAGAGGAAATCCATGCAGCTGAGCTGTGTTATCTTAACAGTTCCTTCCCTTCTCAAGGCTCCTGTCTCTCCTTAGTTCAATGATGAAAACGTAGACGAAAACATTTTTCAGTCAATACAGTGCCAGCTCAGTTGTCCAGGGGTCAGGGAAAGTCCCAGGTGTCCTGGAGAGCAGCAGGAGCAGAGGTTGCTACACAAGCTGCGGGTTTTCTCCCTTCCAGTACCTGTGGGCTGTAGGAGCAGGGAAGGAAGGAAAGGGACTTCCCTTTCCTGGGGGAGGGAGGGACTCCATTTCTGCACTGGTGTATAGTGTGGTCTGATGATGAAAGAATGTGCCTATCTATATTGCAACCATCAACCTAAAGTATCTAAATCTGATCTTTGCTCTAAGGCCTCTTCCCTTGAGGGACAGCCTAGGAAAAACTTTTTAAAAGTTCAGCTCTATAAATTCCAACTTAAGTTTTAACTTCAAGTATATACATTTGACTCTAGGGTTTTCATTCTAGAGTTCTTACCAAGAGATGAAGAGCTACAAGATTTCTCTGTACTATTGGGGGTTTGAAGTGGGGATAATAAAAGAAATGAAGCAGAAACCGGTTTGGCTCAGTGGATAGAGAGTTGGCTTGCGGACTGAAAGGTCTCAGGTTTGATTCCGGTCAAGGGCATGTACCTTAGTTGCAGGCACATCCCCATTAGGGGGTGTGCAGGAGGCAGCTGATGGATGTTTCTCTCTCATCGATGTTTCTAACTCTCATCTCTCTCTCTTCCTCTCTGTAAAAAATCAATAAAATGTATTTGAAAAAAAGAAAAAGAAATGAAGTTTCTGGACTAGGCCGGTCCCTTTACAGGAATAGTGTACTCCTGACATAATATTCTCAATCTTCGTGTTGTTTTCTTAGGGGTTATATTTCCTGAGCATCTGGGGGCTGGGGGTACGAATTGCTCAAAAGAACAGAAGCTTTCATTTGGATGACTTAGAACAATGACTCCATTCAAGGGACCAGGGTGGGATGGGCAGGGGTAATGCAATTGAGGAAGAAAGGAATAGATCAAGTGTGAAAATTCGTGCCAAACAGCCTCCACAAGCTTCCTTCCAGCTAATCTGACCCTTTTCAACGAGAAGCATGACCTAAATGGTTGCTTTGATGATCTTTCCACTTTTTTTCCCACTGAGGTGAACATGGAAGCCATATGGCACCTATTCCTTTGCAGCCCTACAAGAGAAGGCTCTGGGCCAAACGTGAATAATGAGCTCCTCCCCTGGCATCAGTCGACAAGTGATGCTCATTAGTAAAGCTGGCTCAAAACTGGCCCATCACCTCCCTAAAGTTGTACTGCGTTCACAAAGGTAGCTGGCAGGTGTTTGCAAATTCCCATGTGCCCACCCGATGGCACAGGCAACTTGCTGCTGAGCAAGGTATTCTGGGGCAAAGGGGGAGGGAAAACAACTAGAAAAATATTCAAAATAACTCACCATTCCCTGCTTATTTGTCCATCTGTCATACACAGGATTTACTTGTTGCCTAGGGCCTGGTTGGCCAACTGCGGCTCGCGAGCCACATGTGGCTCGTTGGCCCCTTGAGTGTGGCTCTTCCACAAAATACCACGGCCTGGGCGTCTATTTTGAAGAAGTGACATTAGAAGAAGTTTAAGTTTAAAAAATTTGGCTCCTAAAGAAATTTCAATCGTTGTGCTGTTATTTAGCTCTGTTGATTAATGAGTTTTTGTTTTGTTTTGTTTTTTAATATATTTTATTGATTTTTTACAGAGAGGAAGAGAGAGGGACAGAGAACTAGAAACATCGATGAAAGAGAATCATCAATCAGCTGCCTCTTGCACACTCCCCACCGGGGATGTGCCCGCAACCAAGGTACATGCCCTTGACCAGAATCGAACCCAGGACCTTTCAGTCCCCAGGCCGATGCTCTATCCACTGAGCCAAACCGGTCTCGGCACCAGGTGATTTTTATACGAAAGAAAATTTGAGAATCTCTGTTCTAGAGAACACACTCTTCTCTGAAAGTCAGGGGAAGTGGCTTCCTAGTCCCAACTTTCCTTTTAGCTTAGCAAGCTTCCTTTTTATCATGTTTCAGGTTGGATGAGGAGTCATCAAAATATTTTAAAATAATTATAGATTTACATGCAGTTTTAAGAAATAATACCCATACCCAGTTTCTCCTTAATGGCAACATTTTTTGTAACTAGAGTAAAATATCAAAACAAAGAAAGAAATTGACATAGATACAATCCATCTATTTTATTTAGATTTCACCAGTTTTACACTCCCTCATTTGTGTATGTATAGTTATGTGTAATTTTATCATTTATAGATTTGTGTGACCATCACAATAAAGATATAGAATGATTCTATATCTTTTTCTACCTTTTCTCTTTTCTACTTTTTCTCTCCTTCCTTCCTTCCTTCCTTCCTTCCTTCCTTCCTTCCTTCCTTCCTTCCTTCCTTCCTTCCTTCCTTCCTTCCTTTCTCTTTCTTTCCTTCCAATTCTCATCCATTGATTTTTAGAGAAACTGGAAGGGAAGAGAGACGTCCATTGGTGGTCTCCTGCACCCCTGGGGATGAAACCCAAACCCAGGTATGTGCCCTTGACCAGGAATCAAACCTATGACCCTTCCATGCATGGGCAGATGCTCCATCCTCTGAGCAACATCAGCCAGGGCTGATTTAGTAATTTTAAAAATGGGAGTTCAACCTAGGTGCTTCAAGGGATACTGTAGTGAAGAGGGAAAGAGAAGGGTTAGGCAAATTAAGTGGGATTTTAAGCACTTTCTCTTTAAACAGTCCGTCTTTATCTGTTTATATACTGAGACTTACTATACTGGTGAAAGAATCCCACAGCTAAAAGCCTTTGGTTTAGTCCAATATTTTCATTTATAGATGAAGAAACTGTATGCACGTGTATCAATGTGCTCCAGCACATACACTGGTTTATTACCCATTCTGCTAATGATCAACATAACATAAACCACTCAGAAATTGCCCCCTTCCCTTCAAACGTAAACTCCTTAAATTTAGCAACATATAAGTTAGGATCTTTTCTCACCTTAATTGTCAGGAGATACTTTGAGGTTCATTGCCTGGCATATAGTCATCAATCAGTGCCTCCAGGAAATACTGGACTTTCATTGGCAAACAGAGTTTGAATAATTGATGAAAATGTATATTATACATCTCTTCCTTTCCTTTTAATCATTAAAGAAATCGTTGTAAAAAAAAGGTGTCCCATTCTTCTATGATAAACCTAACAAAGTGTAATGTATAGAATAGAATGTACACTGTATTCTTTCGCTGGTTTTATAGATAGTATCTGGAGAAACATATTCACTTCTATGGAAAATTTTAATAGGAATATTTGCGACTGGAGTCTTTGGAAGGGAACTACTGGGTCTAAAAGGAAGTCATGAGAGAATAGAAAAATAAGACAGGAATTGGAGTATGGGACATATTTTTCCCATAGAAAAATTTGGATGAAAATAGCATAGTTTTTCTCAAACGTTTAGAAAATAATACTGTGAAGGAATTACTGTATATCTATGGGGCAAAACCAATGGGTGAAGGTAACAAAGAAATACATTTGCCACTCAATATATAAAAAGCGTTTATATAATCAGCTGCCTCAAAATGGAATGGAAGGCCTTACAGAGGAGTGAGCTTCCTATTACTGAAATCATTCAAGCAGAGGTTGATAAAAGATGGTTCCAAGGAATTTTTATACTGGGCTAAAGATTGAACCATATGATTTATAAGGTATCTCCCAACTAAAAACTGCATGATCGAGGCAAGAAACTCTAATAGTAGTTTAAATCCTGGTCTGCCTTCTTATGCAAACAAAACAAGAAAAACAAAAACACCCAAAACTGATTTGCTTATGTGAGTAGGCTTTCCTTTTGAGAAATTGATATACTTTAATGTATTCTCTTTTTTTCTGCACCTCTCATGCTTAAAAGCGAATGTATTCAGTTCCTTTTCATGCAGCACATAGTCAAGTATCTATGTGCCTGTTATTTCTTTTCCAAATCAAGTTTGAGACAACCTCTGAGGATCCACCCATCCTCCGAGGTGAGCCATCTTGCACTATGTTTTAGGAAATATCTTACAGAGGGGGAAAGGAACATTCTTTTCCTACAGACTAGTCAGGTGGGGAGTCTTCTGGGAGGAGAGCTAATGCCTACTATCTCTTCCGGCGTTGCTGGAGGCTCCCAGTAGGGCCGTATCCAGTTTGTACCAACAAATGCCTTATACAAGCCATTCAGATCCGCCACAGCAGGGGGGAAGGCACAGAAGAGGAGGAAGAGGAGACTTGATGTCCTAAGATGAAGAAGCTAGTAGGTAGAAAGCCCAGGAATAACGGAAACGGAGTTGTCCTCCTTAGGATGACATGCCAAGCAGAAAGCCTCCGAGAAATCCACCCGCCATCAGAATGTTCGACCTCACAAACAACGCGATCTCCTCAGCTTTGCTTTTCACCTCCATGGGTATGTGGGTGCTCCTTTGGGACTTCAGATGTTCCTTGGCTTTCTTCATGTCCCTCTCTACTTGTTGCCAGTCAATTTTGATGTACTCAGCATGGTTTGCAAGCTGAAGGAGAAAAAACCCTCCTCCCACTGCCGTGGCAGCCAACCTTCCAACTTTCTGGAATATGAAGCCGGTGCACCATCCAGTGACACCTCCAATTAACAGCTGGGTTGCCATGCTGCCCTTCTCAGTAGAGAGCTCAGATTCATTGTCAAAAAGCTTGTGCCACCATCGCTGCTTTTCAGCCAACTCTGCAAGGTCCACTATGTCAAAATGTCCCTGACTGGACGCGGATGCTTCAGCGAGGTGCTCTTGCGATGCCACCCGTGAAGGCTGGGCGCTGCTGGCCTGTGGGTCAGATGTTTCCATTCCCACGGCCGCAGCGGAAGAGGGCGGACTGCGCTGGCCGCAGCCACTCCCCCCCGCCCCTACCCTTGCGTGCAACTGCGTCACAAGGCTCCCGGGCCGTATCCAATGGATTCATGTTTTGCGGCAGATATTCACTGAGCCCCTATTGTGTGCCTAGTCCTGAGGATACGTGTTGTTACAGAGGACGTGACAACGTACAGAGAAGGGTCTTAACCTATATTGGCAAAGTAAGTGTGAAAGAGCCATGATACCAGATGGTGTGTGTTTGTATACTCTGTTCCAAATTAATGTGAATCCTATGTTATGAATGAAAAGTGACTATTATAAGAATATCCTCATTTAAAAGTAGCAGGCTAATATATTAAAGAGTCTAGAAGATGATTAAGAAAAATTTTTTTTTATTGATTTCAGAGAGGAAGGGAGAAGGAGAGAGAAATAGGATGAGAGAGAATAATTGATTGGCTGCCTCCTGCACACCCCTAACGGGGGATGGAACCTGCAACATAGGCATGTGCCCCAACCTGAATCCAACCATGACCTCCTGGTTCATAGGTCAAGGCTCAACCACTGAGCAACACTGGTCCAGCAAGATGATATAAAAAACTATATTCAGTCAGGTACTAATGACAAAACAGACAACAAATTATTTTACTTTATTAAAAATTTCCAGTTTATAACCAAAATATACAACAACTACATTTAAAATCAGTTTGTACACTCACAGTTAAAGTGCTAAGTAAAAACATTTACAAAAACTGACAGTAGTCTACTGTAAACAAAATAAATCTACAAGAGCAGAGTGCAAAGCACATCCAGCTAATGTAAAAATACAGTTCATGCTCTAATCAAGTGCACTTGCCCTATACACATCTCAACAATAGTAACTTTCCCACTCACTTAGAAATGAACAATTTTCAATACACAAAAGAGAAACATGAAGAACTAATGCCACAAAATACAAGTCTTTAGCATAAACACTTTCTAACTAGATGTTTATATGATAAAGCAAGATTAAAATTTTAGAATCAATATTATAATTACCTTGTCAATTTAATTCAAAACAGATTTGGAAACTCAATTGCTAACTGCCAGCCATTTAAAAATAATAGTTTTTAAAGAAAAATAATGAAAAAAGGAATAACTTTTCTACCTTTATCTCTCTTGAAAAGAGGAGGTAGTCATTCTTGATAATAGTAAAATGAAGACTTTTTTTTTTTTTTTACAACAATGGACAGCGTTCACCTATAAATTTAATATCAATGAGTAGAGCTGGAAGACAGGCCAAGTTGAAAGGTTGGCTAAGACTGAAACACAGGCCATCTCAGGAGAATAGTGTGGATGATGGATACCTAGGATGCTCTGGACACAACCTTAAACTGAAAAATAAAAATAGGATCAGCATGGCACTGACTTCATAGAACCCATAATTACAAGTGACTAGCTCCCTTCCTCAAGATCACTGAAAGTAGACAGCACTTTCAGACATTTCATGGGCTTGGTGAAAGGGGCAGATTCCTACGTTAGGTCATTTAACATCTCTTGCCTCACAATAGTCCCATCAACTTTAGTGAGATTATTTCCACTTTTGTCTTAAAGCTTAATATTCTATTAACTGATAGTAATTTGCACTGACACTAATGTATTTGTTCTATTTATTTTAAATCTTTATTGTTGGATAATGTGTTTGTTCTTAAATGCAGATTTCTCTTTAAGACAGAGGTAAAAAGGCTATAGTCCCCAACACTTTAATAAGTTAAAGCAAATTTCCTTCTTCCTAACACTTTCAGATAAGTTATACTTTGGAAGTATTGATAAGGAAGACTGGAGATAAAAGGCAGTCCTGTCCGTGTGGCTCAGTGGTTGAGCGTTAACCAGGAGGTCATGGTTCGACTCCCGGTCAGGGCACATGCCTGGGTTGTAGGCTCAATCCCCAATAGGGGCCGTGCAGGAGGCAGCCAATTGATTATTTCACATAATTGATGTTGTTATCCCTCTCTCCATCGCCCTTCCTCTCTCTGAAATCAATAAAAACATTTAAAAAAAAAGGGAGATAGTAATATCTTGGGGATTGTAAAGAAGCAGGTATGTACCTAGACAGACTCATAGTATCAACTAAGAAGTGTACCAAGCAGTTATTGAGAGATCAAAATAAACTTTCTCCACTATAAAAGTTTATCCAAAACTAAGACACTGGATTAATACTGGAATGTACAAGATCAACTCTTGTTAGCTAACCTGTTACCCTTATTATTCATAATATTATTTATATGAAGAGCTGTAACAACATCTGAATTTAGGACAACTCAATTTACAACCTTTTAGATCACAGCTGTAACTAAAGTTGGAGATTTCAATGTTTTTATACTCACTTTTTTCTTATCAACCTGAACTCTCTCTATATAAAAGCCTAAGCAACTGTTTGACAATTAGAGCAAGAGTATTTATTTCAGTAACAAAACAATACATAATAAAGACAATGATCTTTAAAAGTAACAGAAACCTCCTTGGCCTGGTTCTTACAAAACACAAATCTAAAAAAGAGAATTCTGTAGAGAGCTAAAGAAGCTTTATGGAAACATCTGCACAGTCAGAAAAAAATTACAAATAACAAATTACATGTATCTCTAATAATATTTTAAAGCAGGATACATACATGTTCATGGCAATTTAGCAACTGTATTCACTCAATGAATCTAAGAATACAGCACAAAAATAATTATTGAACAGAAAAGTTTCAATATACTCTGAAATTCCTTTTACATTTTATAATTATTTTAATGTTGGCAAACCTGGTAGCTTTTTTCTTTTGTTAATCCTCATCTAAGGATATTTTTCCATTAATTAAAAAAATACTTTTAGTGATTTCAGAGAAAAAAAGAAGAAGGAGAGATAGAAACATCAATGATGGTACATCTACACAATGGAATATTATGCTGCCATAAAAAAGAAATTCTCATCATTTGCAGCAACCTGGATGGAATTGGAGAACATCATGCTGAGTGAAACAAGCCAATCAATGAAAGAGAAACACCACATAACCTCACTTATTTATGGATGATAAAGAACATTATAAACTGAAGAACCAAAAGATAGAGACAGTAAAGCAACAAGCAGACTGTCAATTACAGCAGGGAGGTTAGGAAGAACTGGGGGAGATAAGAGATCAACCGAAGGACTTATATACATGCATATAAGTACAACCAATGGACACAAAACTCTGGGGAGGGAGGGCATGTATGGGCGGGCGGGGGGGGTGGTGGTATATATACAAAGATAATAATTTAATTTTAAAAAATCAATGATGAGAGAAAATCATTGATTGGCTGCCTCCTTCACAACCCACACTAGGGATCAAGCCTGAACTGTGACCTCCTGGTTCATAGATTGACACTTAACCACTAATCCAAACTGGCAAGGGCCCTGATAGCTTTTTAATTTGCTATAAGGGCCAGTATCACTGTGTGGTTTGTTCAAAGTTTAGGCTAACTAGTTATATTTATATTTAAGGGAACAAAACCCACATTATATATGTGATTTTTTTTCTGTATGTAAACTTGAGGTGCTTTAGAAGAATTTTTACATAAAGTTTACATGTAAGCTTTCTTTCACTTTTAATACAATTTTCCTCCTTTAAAATTTCTTAAAATCACGAATGGGAAACAAAGTTAATAACATATCTGACTCCTATCAATTTAAGAATAAATTGCATTAACAGTACAGATTAATCTAGTAAATATAGTTCATGGAAAGAAAAAAAGCAAGCCCAGATAATGATTATAAAATGGTCAAGAAACAACCATATTAGAGACGGGTGGAATTTGAGACTACCTAATCTAATGGCCTTGTTTCTTTCATTTACAAATGAGAAAACCAAGGTCCCAAGAGGTAAAACTCCAAAGTTACACAGTTCATTCAGAAGAGAGACAAACCTAAAAATCAAGTTGCCTGACTCAAAATTCAGTGGTACTCAAAAATAACATAATGCCCTTTTACTAAGCATTTAAAAAACTGCCAATTTAGAAAACAGAAATTATTTAACTCTATACAGTTTTATTCTTTTAAGCCAGTAAGTACAACACAAAAAAATAGTTGTAAATTAGTAATGTAAACAAACTTATATAACAAAAACCCCAGGTCAATAGTAAAAATAATAATAATGTAGTTCACCCTATTGCAGGAAATATGATAAAATAAAAAGCGTGAAAAATATCAGTCTTATAAATACTAACTAGGGGCCCAGTGCACAAATTCATGCACCTTGAAAGGAACTGTGGGCTGGGAGGCTGCAGTGGGCACAACAGCAATCTCGCATCCTCTGTGCCCCCACCCAGCTCCTCCCACCACAGCCCCCTAGTCCCCTGTCTGCTAGCAGCCCTGCTCTTGCCACCACCGCTCCCATGCACTAACAGCGCCAGAGTCGCTCTGCACCAGCAGCGGGTGCGAGTGGCAGCTGCTGCCCCAGTCGTCCCTCAGGAGCAGGGGGAGGTGGAGAAGCCCTCAGGTGCGATCGGGGCCAGCAGCCGCTGCTTGCACTTGATGACAGTGCTGAGCGATTGGGGCTGGCGCTGGGCACTGGCAGCAGGGACAAGCAGTAGCTCCAGCGCTGGCAGCATGGGGAAAGCGCCTGACAGGACCATGGCACATGGGAGCAAAGTATTTTCAGTAACCACCAGAGGCTCGCCCCAATGACAATGACCAGTGCCCTGTCTTGGTCTGGCACCCCTGCTCATCTACTTCACCATCCTGCTGCTGCCATCACCTGCCATGTTCCACACTTGCCCCCTGGTGGTCAGTGCATGTCATAGCGACCGATTGTTCAGTTGTTCGATTGTTCCACTGTTTGTCTATATACTTGCATATTAGTGTTTTTTTTTTAATATATAGATGTTACTAGCTAATGGTAATTACAAAATTTATGGAACTCTGAGTTCTCAAAATCTAAATTACAATATAAAAAAACACTTGTTTTTGTATTAAGTTAAACTGGTGACAGTGGCCAA